GTGTGCCTGCTACTTCCTCGTCCTCCTAAAGGAGGGCACTTTGGCCTCAGCCCCGACGACGAAGGTGTGGTCCCAGCATTCCGTGTGCGGGCTGGACTGCGGGAGCGAGCGCGGCCACGGCCTTCACGAGACTGCAAAGTACGAGATGCTTGCAGGCGTGGACGTACTCGGGGTGGAGGTCCACTGACGCCGCGATGCTCCCCAAAAAGTTCAAAGCTGCGTGTGGTGATGACTGGCGGCGTTGCGCCGATTGCCCCAGTAGCGCATCTTGGAAGTGCAGCGCGTGCCGGGCGAGGGCGAGCAGGGACTGCAGTAGGTTTGGGGCATCGCGAGCTTGTGCCAAGGGGAGCCCACTGCGTGGTTTGGCCGAAATCCCTCGCGGCGGACCTTGGAGGCGCGCACTGGAGGGGGAGGCACGAGGAGTAATGCGGCCTGGAGCACTGCTTCCAGCTTTGCTGGAGCTGTTCACTGGGGCGCCCTGTGCCCAAGGCGAAGGTACACGTGCTGGTGGACGCGGAAGGCGAGGAAGTCCACGGAGCTGGCCAGTTGACGTAGTGGAGCGGGGGGCCTGGGAAACTGTACGCGCATCCTCGATGCCAGGCGGTGGAAGGCCAGCTGCCTCTGCGAGGCCTGCCGGAGGTAGCAAGGCGTCGATGCTGCGCTCTGCGAAGAGAAGCCCCATGTGCACAGCGCGACGCGCATCCTCTTGCCATGATGGGTCCATGGCGGGCGAGGCAGGCCTACAAGAGTTGAACACGTACAGCACAAAGCCTTTGCTTGAGGAGGTCGGCGGACACATGGCGCATGCGGGCAAAGTGTATCTACGGATGCCAGGATGACGCACCTAACATCTCAAAGAAGCATCTTTTGTTTCGCAAGGGGACCGAACAGAGAAGGTAGACACAGCAATACGACACATGCTCTGCCCAGATTTGGGGCGCAGGTTGGTGACGCTGATGGGCTCGGGACCCTGGGGACGGGAACGGGGGTGCTGAACGCTTGGGCTGAAGGACCACGAGCCCTGACCAGGCCAAGTGGGCCTTACAACTGGCCCAGACCCATGTTTTCGGCTCGAGAAAGGGGGTTTGGGCCTGAAGAGGCTGATGTTAGCTTCAGCTGGCCCAACCCCAGGTTTTCGGCTCGAGAAAGGGCTTACTACGCAGATGGACCAGAAGGCCGATTTGGGGCGCAGGTTGGTGACGATGATGGGTTCGGGACCCTGGGGACGGGAACGGGGGTGCTGCACGCTTGGGCTGAAGGACCACGAGCCCTGACCAGGCCAAGTGGGCCTTACAACTGGCCCAGACTCATGTTTTCGGCTCGAGAAAGGGGGTTTGGGCCTGAAGAGGCTGATTTTAGCTACAGCTGGCCCAACCCCAGGTTTACAGCTCGAGAAAGGGGGTTTGCTTACAACGCAGGGACCAGCGGCCCAGAAGGCCGATTTGGGGCGCAGGTTGTGACGCTGGTGCCCTGACCAGGCCAAGGGCCTTACAACTGGCCCAGACTCATGTTTTCGGCTCGAGAAAGGGGGTTTGGGCCTGAAGAGGCTGATTTTTGCCACAGCTGGCCCAACCCCAGGTTTACAGCTCGAGAAAGGGGGTTTGCTTACAACGCAGGGACCAGCGGCCCAGAAGGCCGATTTGGGGCGCAGGTTGTGACGCTGGTGCCCTGACCAGGCCAAGGGCCTTACAACTGGCCCAGACTCATGTTTTCGGCTCGAGAAAGGGGGTTTGGGCCTGAAGAGGCTGATTTTTGCTACAGCTGGCCCAACCCCAGGTTTACAGCTCGAGAAAGGGGGTTTGCTTACAACGCAGGGAAATGCGGCCCAGAAGGCCGATTTGGGGCGCAGGTTGTGACGCTGGTGCCCTGACCAGGCCAAGGGCCTTACAACTGGCCCAGACTCATGTTTTCGGCTCGAGAAAGGGGGTTTGGGCCTGAAGAGGCTGATTTTTGCTACAGCTGGCCCAACCCCAGGTTTACAGCTCGAGAAAGGGGGTTTGCGTACAACGCAGGGACCAGCGGCCCAGAAGGCCGATTTGGGGCGCAGGTTGTGACGCTGGTGCCCTGACCAGGCCAAGGGCCTTACAACTGGCCCAGACTCATGTTTTCGGCTCGAGAAAGGGGGTTTGGGCCTGAAGAGGCTGATTTTAGCCAGAGCAGGCCCAACCCCAGGTTTTCGGCACGAGAGAAAGGGGTTAGCTTACTACGCAGATGGACTTGCGGCCCAGAATGGTGACGCTGAGGACGGGCTGGGGGGGGAGCTGTACGCTCACGCTGAAGGACCAGGAGCCCTGAGAGGGCCAAGATATCGGGGCTATTCGCTTGCGCACATGACGGGGGGGGGGGGGGGGGGGGGGGGGGGTGCAAACAGCACAAGTGCTGAAACAAGAATGGACCTGTGAGTGAAGGAATCATGAAGACGAATGAAGTTGGCACTGTCGCGCTGACGGGAGGACTTCGGGCGGGGGGGGGGGGGGGGGGGGGTGCTCATCGGCGGAGGAGGCCGCCTTAGTGCCGCCCCGAGTGTTCCACCCACCTCGGCAAGACCCGAAAGACCTCGCACAACCCGTCAGAACCGGGGGGAAAAACGCCTGCTTCCTCATACAGTTTCAGCCTGCGTTCGGGCATGGTGTGGGATATGTTGGATCCAAGAACAGCCCTCCGCATGCTGCCAAACTTCCAAGGGCCACAGCTTCACCACCAGGCTTTGGGCTGCACTCGTGTTGAGGCGCACACCTCATCCACCTCATCTAGTTTGACCTTCGCGACCTTGGCCATGATGGACTGCCGCCGAGGGATGGTTCTCGCCTATGGTTCTGTGTTTTGGGGAATAAGGGTGATTGGGGCTGTCTAGCACAGGTAAGCCCGTAGGCAATTTCACCCGTTCTTTCAAAAGCCCAAGGACGGGACGAGTCGGCAGGCCAACAAGGCGTGCCATCGTTGCATGGCGGGAGCGCCAGGGCTGCCCTATGAAGATGTGTCCCATATCTGAATCATCAGGGCTGTGCTCTACATGTGATGTTTGGAATGCCGTTTGGTATACATCCCATGTTCCCCATGTAGTGTTCTCTGAATGCCCTGCCTACCGACTCTGGCTTCACAAAGCACTTGATGCACCACTGACAAGCCCTGCCCGATATCCTCCACAACTTTCACCTTGGACAATGCGTCTGACGCCCCGTGTCGATGCAAGGTTGGCTCTCACTGTTCCTTTCAAGGCCTACTGCAAGGTTTCTGGTAGTTTTTTTGGCAACCTTTGGAGTTGCTGTAACACATTATGCTACTTGTGCCAAGCGCTACAGCTTCATGGTCACAGGCTGTCACAGGGTTCGTGAAAATGCAGAGTTCTTCATGTCGTGGGCGAGGCTACCAGGAAGCATCCCTACATCCAAACAATCAGCGCAAGGACATGGTCGGGTATTCAGCCTTTGCGAGCATGCCCCAGGCCCACTGGAACATCCGGCACGTCACTTCACGTGCTGATGATGATCTTGATCCCTCTTGCGTAGACCCAGCCGTGTTCCTTCGGTTTGATTGCCTATGTTGCAGGCAATTGACGCAGTAGATGTTGGAAAACCTCATTCTGCTAATCCAAGAGTGCTGCTGCCAAGACAGCCAATGCTGCCATGAGCGAATTGTGGACAGGCGATGTTTGGCTCACCCAGCAGCAAAGCCGCCGAATCTCAGAGCGAGGGCTCGATTTCCTCATGGCCGATGGAAAACCGGGACAAGTGTTCCTGACAGAGCGGGTCCTTCGGCAAGCATCATATATGCTTTATCACACCTTCCATGCCATGCTTCAGAGCAGGCCTTCACATGGACCTTAAGCCCGATCCTGGAGGCAGCCAGGATGAAGATCTTGTTGATTTTTGTTGGGCATGTTTGCCGTTTGAGCCGGAGGGTTGGGGCCCAAATGGATCCCAGCAGCGATCCGGGGCTGATCTTGGCCCAATGTGGCGCTACGAGATTGATGGCTGCAACAGCAAACGTCTGCTGGTCATTCAGGGATGTTTTGCTCTCGACATCGGGTGTAGTAACTGTAGTAGGGGTTCGTGTAAGATCCCGATTGACACCAGGAATTCTTGGAAATCCGCAGACAATCCGAGAATTTGCTCGGATTCGAACTTCGAACTTTTGCACGTTCCTCGGACTTTTCTGCCAGTCTCTAAGAAATGGAAGTCTCTAAGAAACGACCCACGTCATGTTCCGCAGGGAACAGTGACCCGGACCGTAAGCGTTGAGGCCTTCGGCCTGCCCGTTCTGACGGGTGGGACAGTCATGCCGGTCTGAGTTCTGCTCGATGCGTAGGCAAAGTTTTACGGATTACCCTGCGCCCTGCATGAGAGTGCCGCCCACCGAAGCCAGTCGAGAAACATCGAGAAACTAAAGAATTTTAAACCGCGCTGCAAGCGTGAAGACACTCGAAACTTCTTACCTGTGTGGCTCACTCCTTGAGGTTATCAGGTTCAAATTTGAGGTTGTCAGGTTCAAATTGTCAACGGCCTGTGAATGTTTTGCACGTCTTCTGACTTTTGGACATGTCAGCATATGCATGGGGCTGTGTCTACACCAGCGCAAAGATACGCATGGTATCCAGAACGGTGCTGCCAATCTCATCTGTACATGTGGCCGCGTTCGGAACCCCGAGGGGCGAAAAAGTAAAACCGATGATGCCAGCACGTCTTCTCACGCCAGAGTCGCGATGCGCTCAAAGCCTTGTGGAGGTATCAACTTTGATATACATGGCAATTCCCGGCAAGAACATTCCTACATGCAGCCTCTCGTGCATCAGAGAACAGCGGGACCCGTGCCTAGGTTGGCATGGATATGCGTGGAGCTGCTGCCGGCCAACCGAATGACTGAGAGAGCACATGCTCCTGCGGGCACAGATGTCGCGGAAGCGCCCCAACTCAGACATTCTCGAAGCAAGTGCTGGGGTCTCTCAGATGCAGCGCTGACAGGAAACTGAAGCCTACCGCAGGCTGCAGCATCCTGGCATTTCAGCATCCACAGCGTGAGGCTCTCCAACTCCCCCACATCTTTGTCGCCGTGGCATTTTGGATTTCACCATACGTGAGAAGAATTTCCTGAGCGCCAGCATGCGCCAGCGTCGTCACACACTCAATATCACTCAATGACAAGATGCAGAATCCAAGTCCGAGCTGCCGCCATCCTTTGCCTAGAATCATTGAAAACCTCTTGGTTTGGAGGCTTCCCAAGGCCTGCACGTATATGCACGTGTTGGCACGCGGCCTACAATCATCACGATTGAAAACGCTTTTTCAGCCGCTTCCTGCCTGTGCTGGCATATTGCTCTACCAGCAAGTCCATCTCAGCAAAGACAATTTGAATCTGCTGAAGGGTCTGCCCGAAGAGGCCGTCCTCAAGCCCCTTCTTCAGGGCCGACAAGATCGCGCCTTGTCCAAAGCTGCTCTGCGTGCTCCGGCGCCCGGTGGGCTCCGGCGTCTCTGTGGTGTTCCGACAATCGCACAGGGCGGCCTCGCTCGCCAAGGCCGCCAAGACCTGCGAAGCGTTGACGCTGGCCGCATCCCTCTTGGCGAAGGCCGCCAGGATCTCTGCCTCGTGCCAAGCGCTTTGGTGCGACGTGCAGCAAAGAATTGCGAGAGAGCACGACCGCCGTGTCTCAAACGCGGGAGAAAAAAAGAAAAACCGAGTGTGTTTTGAGGCAAGAAGGCATGTTACACGCGGCATATCCCGCGCGCACGCTTGCTTTTTTTGGACGTTCGCGTCTGAGCCGAGTGGCATCCAGGGCCTGCGAGATCAGCAGGCCAACCAGCGGATTTGCAGCGGCCCACACGGCCTACGCAACACACAAAGACTCTGCCGGGTGTGGGAGGGCTTGGGCTTGGAAACTCGTTCAGGAAGTCTGCGCCTGCAAGGTGCGCTGGGCCTTCGCATGGGCCTGGGCCGACATCACCCATGCAGATTGCAGGCCGGCGAAGGACAGGGAGCACCTCTTCAAGGGCCGGGGGCTACAGCGGTGCTACAGCGGCTACAGCGGCTACAGTGCACAGAGGCTCTCAAGGAAACAAGGAAAAGCAAAAGGCAAAAGCAGGGCAAGCGCCTGCCCGTGTAACCGTCCAGTGCCACAAGTGCCGTCTTAAAACCCGCCCAGTGTTCATCCATGGCGTCGAAGTACTGGTCGAACTGCGCCCGCAGCTGCCACCAGGTCTTGTCCATGCTGTCCATGGCCATCATGAGGGAGCCCTCCCTCAGCTCTTGCATCACATCCTCCAGGCTCGCGTGCGAATTCCGGAGCCAGTGCTGGCGCTGTTTGCTCTCGACGCTAGTTCTCTTGTAGAGGCCGAGGGTGTGGGCCTTGGACCGCATCACCCGCATCATGGCCGTCACGTACTCCCCAGCACGGTCGGCAACAGATTGGGCGGCAGTCAGCTTCTCATGGGTGGATGCAGCGCTCACCAGCGCGTGGAGTTGCTCCACGCCGCCCGCGATGCTGTGGAGCCCCGACGTTAGGTTCCCGTCTGGGAGGGCCTTGGCCGCTCGCAGCTGTGCCGAAAAGGCTTCAATGCTACGGGCAGCGGCGGTCGCGGCCATCTGGTGAAAGGCTCTGGAGTGAACCATGGATTTCATCTCTGTAAACCTCGCACTCATCCGCTTCACGATCCTTAAAAGCTTGGACTTCAGGAGCTCTTGGAAGCCTCTATATATACATATATATATATATATGTATGTATACATACATATATATATGTATGTATACATACATTCATACATACATACATACATATATATATATATATACACGGCGGCGCAACATGCCAAGATATGCCAAGCCAACCCAAGCCAAGCCTCAGGCTCGACGTTGGCGCGGCTTCATCTGCAGTGCCCCCTCCGAGATAGTGGTCGAAAAGCTGCGTTGTGACACTTTGCATGTGCTGAAACGCTGCCTCGAGGTTGCTTAGGATTACCTTATCGCCCGTCTTGACGGCATCACGCACGCAGTGCAAGTCGCAGAACATGCGGGCCAGGCCGTGCTGCAAAGGCATGCAGTCATCCCGGCTGTTGGGGCCATACTTGTTGTCTCTTAGGAAGTCATTGGAAAGGCCCGTGACGTCGACTCCGAACTTCGCTGCTGAAACAATGCTTCTGAGAAACTTGCCCGGAAAGTTCCAGTCTGTGTCCCAAATGCCCAGCAAGTCCCCCGCAAAACCGAGAGCAGTCGAAGGGATTCCTACTCCAATGGCGTTGATCCGCGCATCCCTTCCATAGGACGCATCCCGGCTGATCTCTCTGTCGGAACACTCCTTCACACTTTTGTAAGTGACGCCATAGCTGCCTCCAGTTGAGTCTCCAGACTTGTCCGTCCAAGACTCGCGGGAGTCAAACTGTGGGGCAGGCTTCCAAACAAGCCCCGAGGGGCCGCCGTCATATTCTGGGTCAACTGCCGTCGGATTAAGAAGCGCATGGACCCAATGGCAGGGGTTTTCCGGAGGCAAATCGTAGGCATTCTTGTTCATTTCTCCTGAGTCGAAGTCTGTGGACCCGGGGTGGACTTTGTCTTTGCATTCTGGCTGGTACGCGTCCTCGTCTAGCGAGTCGAGCTGAAGCGAGTCTAGCTGAGGCTCCTGAGGTGCAGCTTCGGGTAGCACGGCTGCCGGACTGGAGAAGCTCGTCACGGCTTCTGTGGGTTCTGGCGTGGCAAGCGCCTCTGCGCCTTGTGGGGAGAAAAGGGAGCTGAAGTCTCGCACGGGCAGCAGGTGCCAGCCGGAGCCTGAGGTGTAGCCGTCCAAGGCTGCGGAAGTGGCGCTCGTGTATGAGAATTGCGTCTCGATGCCGAGTTCCAATGGATGCACCACCTCACCTTCCACGCAGGATGGGTCGCCACTTCCACTTGTCGTAGCGAGGCACCATGCGCCGGCTCCTCGATCGTAAGTCAAGGTGCCACTGGCACTGGCCTCGCTCCACTTGAAGCTAAGCTCTTGCGAGAAGCTGGGTCTACCTGAGCTGTCCAGGCCGACTGGGCAATATATGCCATCTTCCACTGCAAGGTCCTCATCACGGATGTCGCCCGGCCTCATAGTGACCGGCAGGGACATCAGCTGGCAACATGTGGCCCGAAAGCGAATTGCTTGGCTCTTCACATCCTGCTCGCATTTCAAAGCTTGCATAGCGTATCCCTCGCCACAGTCCACACCCATAAAGCGTAAAGCTTGCAGCTCATCAAGCTCCGACAACTCCAAAGACACCTTCTCCACACAAGCCCCCAAACCCACCACCCTTGCACATTTCCATTGGATCGTGTCCGCTTTGTACTGGGCTTCGCCCTCAACATCGCCAGGCTCTACTGGCTCCTTCTTCAAGTCCTGGATGACGTGTTGCGCCTGGCAGTCGATCTGCAGGTCGACCAAGCCAAGAGTCCCAAGTATGGTCCACGTGTACGTGTTCTGCTGGAAGTCCCATAAGCTTGGGCTGCATCCATTATCACACCAGCCATATGTACCAGCCAGCTCGAACTGTTCAGTCTGCACCAAGTAGCGAGGCAGAAAATCATCTCGGTAGATGATTACGTGCTGCGTCTCCTCGTAACCAAACTTACCATTGAACTCTTCCGACGGCACACGGCTGATTACCTCGTGATTGGAGTCGGAGCTGACTTCCGCCGTGTAAAGCCGGAAGATGTACTCAATGTCCGCATCTGTGTTTTTAGAAGCATCATAGCAGCTGCTGTAGTCTTCTTGGCACGTCGGATCATACCGAAAATGAAAGAGCTGGTTCGAGGGCCCCAAGCACGGTCCAGCGGTATCGATGGCGTTGTACACGTCACCGTCATCATCATATGAGCCATATTGAAGGCAGCTCCTAGCAGGGCTGCTCTAGCCGTAAGGTCAAAGAATGTCGAAGACTCTGGCTACAAGTAAGCGCTCTTTCACCCCGATTCCTGTACAGCTGATTTTGGATGGCCACGCGAAGATGCAAAGAGTATTCCTGCAGCTCACTGGACATAAGGTCCGCGACGGTGCAGATCTTGGACAAGCCCAACGTCGGCTCGGACGCATCACCCTGGCCAAAGTGGAAGGCCCTGACCACCAGATTGCTACCGCAAGAGGTCGTAAGCTGGAGGCCTTTGAAATCCGATGGACTGGCGTCTCCATTGACCGCCTCGTCCGAGCCCACCTCCTTCTTGTATCGCTGCACGAACAGCTGGGACACCTCCAATGCGCACCGAAACGTCAGAGCTGGAACGGGAATACCTAGTCTTACCTGCAATCTGCTTACTCTGCTTTGACTAGCGCACTCGCTTTAGAGAGCTTGCTCCCTTGCTCGCCTCGTTGGCATCCAAGAGCTGCTGATTCTCACCTTCACTGCAGTCTTCCAGCACCAGACCGGGCGAAGAGGAAGAGGAAGCCAGGCACATGGACTGCGTGGAGCTGCAATCGGTGCTCATGAACTGGCGCACGGTTTGTGGCGCGCTGGCCGTGAGCTGGGCGACGTAGTTTTCGCAGTCCGTGTCTGTGGAGTCCTTGACGTTGTAGGTGCCTTCGATCACGCGCAAACCCAGCTGCAGAATCCAGCGGCTCGCAAAGAAGAGTTCTTCCTTCACACGGACTGCCATGTCCTTGTGCCAATGGCTGACAGCTTCGATGCAGGCTGCGCACCTGAACTCCAACACGAGGCTCCGAGCCCAGACCGGAAAAGCCGGAAAAACCGGAGAAACTTGTTGAGTCCAAGGCGCTCGAAGTTGGACAAGCCTTTTGAACCGTCGGAGTTGATCCAGGAGCCCGCGACGCACCGCAGCTCGGCTTGCTCTGCAGCAGGCGACCTCCCAAAAAAAGCCCCAAGCCAGCAACAAACACAGCTTTACTGAGTTGAACTCTATTTGAACTCGGGCGGCGGGCTCTGGGACGTCACTTTTGAATCCTGGCACCTTAGATCCCACAATCGGCCTCAATCCACTTTCTTCCAGTAACCCAAACCCCTTTGGCCCGCAACTCCCAGCCTGTAGCGCTCATCCCAGCACCTCGCCGTCACGACCGCCCCATGTGCGAATTCTGCAGGCAAGGGGGTCTTGAGAAGCGATTCTGGACTTGGCAATGCCATGTCAACGGCAATGTACTTGCAGATGCCACAGGACTCCACGGAGGTGCCTCCCAGCATTAGCTTTTGGTCGCATTGCTCGAAGAGCGACTGGTGCAGACAGACGCCAAGTTCGGAGCTGGGAAGTGACAATGGCAAGGCCGCCCGAAGAAACTCACGTCGCTTCGTGACGTGCCAGCAGAGCGGCGCATTCGAAATCCTGCACACATACGTGTCCTTCGGCCACGCCATCAGCATGCCAGATATGCCGACTTGGCGATACAGCGTCTCACAGCTCGAATAGGTCCAGCACTGCGCACTGCCCTCTCCGACTTGGCCATGCCAGAAGAATACGCAGCTTTGGTCCTGTGAGCAATGGACTTGACAACTCTCGAGTTGCTTGTCCTCCGCAGCCTCCAGGTAGAAGATGTCCAGGAGATACTCCTGCTTGCAGACGAAAGCCCCGCCGCCGACCTCAAAGGGAATGGCCTCAAAGAGGTTCTGGCTGCCCATTGGGATCTCATCGTAGGCATCAGGAGATATCGGCGCAGCGTTGCCCCACGCAGGGGGGACACACTGACAAGGGTGGAGCCAGAAGTCGTCCTCCGCTTCCGTGGATGGGTCATCCAGAATCAAGCCCTGGACCTCTGCCGATGGAGTCATGTCGTCGGATGCTTTTTGTATGGAGTGGGCTTGAGTTACATTGGGTACTGCACAGGAGGGCAGGAAGAGCGCCACTGTCACCTCGACCGACTCCTCTCCGACTGAGGCATCGGTCGATGCCGAACCATTTTGGAACACCTCTGTGACCTGATTCTCTGAGCCAAAGCAGGCCACGACTTCCCCATGAAGCTCAGCATACTGCGCGGAGGCGTTGTGGAAATCGTTTTCGGGGTCAGGTCTTCGCAACAGCCATGGCTTGCCGCAATCCGACGAGCCATCATTTGCCACGGCCCAGAACGAGTCTTCTTCCGTGCGACCCACTTTGAGGAAAAGCTGGCCATGCGTCCCATTGTCGGCATGTGGGCAGTATGCGCCAGAGAGGTAATGGTGATCAGCAAACGTCAGATTAAGGCATGCGCTCCTCTCACCACAGCCTGGCAACCGAGCCGTCACGTCGATGTCCTGGTGAACACAAAGCTGGTCCTCCTTGTCTGTGCACAACTGCGCATACTCGATGCATTGGCTGGAGCTCCAGGCGACGTGGGTGCACTGGCCACGGCTGCGGCAAAGGCTCCTGCAACTTGCAATGTCGGTTGCTCCCGTCAGCACTTCCTGCGCTGCAAAGCTCAGTGTTGCTGGCACCCAGCATGTGGAGTCGCGGACTTCCACATTCAAGTCCTGCTGCAGCTGCAACACAGGGCCAAAGCCCTCAGGGGGCCACTCGTAGTGGGCGAAAATGGTGACTGTCCTTGTCAGTACAGAGCGCGTCGATGAGCTCTCCATGACATCGGCGAGGTCCGCAGAAGGTTCGAGCCTCACAGGAAAGGAAACACAAAGCCAGACGAAGTCGGGACAGATGCTTGACTAGAAGAGATGAGACTTGCACGCAAACCACAAGCCAAGCCTGAAAGAGCCTGTGGATACATCAAGATGAAACAATATGTGGTTCTTGTATGTGGCATACCCTGTCAGGACGTCGAAGGAGAAGGCGCTGTCATCATAGCCATCGGATCCTGCATTGATGCGGGCTGAGAAACGGCTGGGAGGAAGCTTGCCAGATTCCTCAACTGGCCGAAGAAGTATCGACGCCTCTCCCAAAGTGGCATAAAGTGCTCCATCATAGCCGTAGCCAAGCAGACTCCACACTTCTGGCCTCAGCACCACAACAGGGGCTGTGTACTCAATGACGCTCGACGAAGTCGAGGTCGAGGACGCACTTACCAAGCAGATCGCACCTTTTGTGGAGCCCACACCTGGGACGCCAGCAACCCCGCCCACAGCTGTTGCAGCTTCCGCCCACGCGAGCTCTCCCGTGCTTGGGCTCAATGTCAAGGCTGCGGACACATCAGCAGGGGAGCAGATCAAACTGTCGAACGAGAGGGTTGAAGACGATGGTGCATGGAAGGTCGGCATGTAGGATTCACCTTCTTCATAGAAGATCAAGGGTCCTGCTCGATAGGAGAAGCCCGTGAGCCCAGACACCACCAGCTCCGCTGAGGACATGAGTGATGCCGACTGATTTGCTGTGATGGTACAGGAAACGGTAAAGGACTCCGTTATGGTTCCGCAGCCCACCTGCGTGCAGGTGTCGGCAAGCTGAAGCTCACCTGTAGCACCATCAATGGTTAGTCCGTACTTGGTAAGTTCGCAGTCCTCGTTCAAGAGATAGTGCGAAGCAGTCCTTGGGATCGGATAGCCCACCACAGTAGAAGCGTCGGCCCCCAGGACGATGCCGCCCACGAAGTAGGTGAAAGGGGTTGCTGCCCGGTGGCCGCCACCACATTTGCAGCATGCTTCATTGGAGGAGAAGCCCTTGACCTTTTCATCTGCGCAGCTTGCAGAGTAGCAAGTGTCAGTCCCGAGCTGCCAACCTGGCATGTCGATGCACGCTTCACAGATATCGCCTGTTCGCACATGGCCTCCTGCACATGTCTCACACTCTCCGTCGCTGGAAAGCTCGGCACAACCACCACAGTGAAGGCTGCTTTGGGCACAGCAGGCAATCGTGCCCGTTGACTGTTGAAAAACGGGTATGGGACAAGGTGTCGTTGTAGTTGTTGTCGTTGTTGTACTGCTTGTGGAGGTGGTGCTTGTGGTGGTGCTGCTTGTGGTTGAGAAGGTTGCGGTTGAGAAGCCGGGAGTGGAGAGATCGGGGGCCCGGGAGAGAAGCGCGAGCCCACCAGAGCTGCAAAGCTCGAAGCCCCTGGCGCGCTTAGCACTTTTCCTCTTGGAAAGAATGTGGGTGATGTGATGCAGGTGCCTGCGAGGGTGAGGCGCCTGCTTGCGAGCCACGTGCCGCTGGAGTCGACTGCGGAGCTGGCTGATTCGCAGCGCGGACTTTCTGCTCTTGTCGAGGCTTCCTGAGCGGCCACTCCAAGCACCGTGACCTCATCATAGAAGCAAAGCATTCAAGTTAGAGCACGAACGAGTGAACGAGCTGAGCATCGAGTGCGAAGCTGAAGTGCAGCTCAGACACGGCCTTGCCGAGTGCCCGCATGGAGCAGTGCTCCCGGAGGGGGTCCGCCGGAAGGTCCGCCGGAAGGTGCGCCGGATGGTCCGCCGGATGGTCCGCCAGATGGTCCGCCAGAAGGCCCAGGAGGAGGCGGAGTTGCCGCCGAAGAGGAAATCGTGAGGATGTCCGACTCGTTGCCCTGCAGTCCATCCTGAGGCTGCTGCAGGATGTAGACGCAAGTGCTGGCCGGCGCCAGGAACCTGGCCGGAGTTTCTCATGCTTCTCGTTCCAGAGACAACTGCTTGAACGTTGCTTTGGATTGGTTAATCGCAGAATTCAAAAAGAAAATGCACAACGTCAAACAAGGAGCTTGATGGTTGCCCTGCGGTCCGCCCCTGTTCCTTGCCAAGCGTCTGTGCAGGGATGGCGGTAGACGGAGCCGTCGCCTCAAAAGGCTGTCGGGGCCGTGTTCTAAAGAAAAGAAGCGTTCACCGTTGACCAGTTGTTGGGGCATGTGCAGGAAACCTAAGAAAACTATCAAAGTTCAACCACATCTAAAAATTGAATCGTGACACAGAACTGAACAGAGCCTAGTCGCAGGCGACCTCTGTGCAATTGCCGGAGCTCCGGAAGGCAGCGAGCTGATGGTCGAAGGTGGCCGTGCCATGGCCGCAGCTTGTCGCCGTCACGCGGCGCTCTTCGTCAAGGTCGTTGCAGTACAGGAAGAGCTCCTGGAACTTGGACGATACTGTGCTGGCATTGGCCGGCACCGTTTCCCTTGCCGTGGCCTAGAAATCGCATGATGATAGGGTGCGCGTTGAAAACAGAATCTTCCCAATCCGGTGGTTTTTGTTCCTGATGTTCTGGTTTTGTAAGTCTGACACGGCCTCCGTCTGTGCTTTCTGACGCGTCTCCTCGGAAGCTTTCCGCGCACGATTTCTGCGAGTGAAACATGGAGTTTCCGTTTGCGACAGCTCCGGAGACTTTCTGTATGCGAGTCTTGTAAGTCTTGTACTCAAAGATGAATGGCGTTTCGGCCCACAGAGAAGTCCGGAAGCTTTCCGTGTACTACCGAGCTCCCGAGGCTTTCCGTGTGCGATTCACGCGCTGAAAACCTTACATTGTTCATCGTTGCTCCATCCCCGCGAGCCGTGAGCTCCAGAAGCTTTGTGCACTTCTCATGTAGTGAAGAATGAAGAGTCCGGATGGTTCCAAGTTGCCTGCCCGGACAGCTCCGTTGGCACGCACTTCGCAATCAGGCACTATTCTTCTCACTTGAAAACAAAGAGCTGCCGCTTGCTGTGCTGAAAAACCACGAGTTTGCGGCGCGCACCACGCCTAAGCGAGAGCGTCCCGCGCGCCCGGAAGTGTCGACATTGGTAGCGTGCCACACCGATAACCACCGATATCCATGAGTGAGCGTGTCGCCGGGATTCGCCGGGTCACATTCTCAATTCCCTTACCTTCCCCCGTTGCAAGAACTGTTTGGGAATGATGTGTATTCAGCTGCTCATGCGATTCCCGGCTTGTGTTGTGGCAGGGTTCAAGACTCCTGGAAGCTATCCTGGAACAGCGAACATCCTGGCAAGATGGTCGTCGTGGCAGAAGCCTGGCTCTGCTGGTTCGTGATGGTGAACTCGCAAGTTGAGTTGCCAGTGAGCTGGGACTCGTTGCAGGTTCCCCTCACGATCGCCTGAGGAGGCATGTGGGTCTCACAAGGCCCCGGCAACGTGTTTCGATGGCGCGGCCGGCGCGCTCCGCCACCTTGGACTTGGATAGCATCAACCTTGTTCTGCAAGTCCGACGAGATGTCGCCGAGCTGCGAAACAACACCGGCCAGATCCTGAGCTTGCCCTTGGTATTCGGACAGCAGCTGCCGCAACCCTTGGACGCCCTGCGAGATTTGCTGTGCAGAGCGCCAATTTGCAGAGCGCCAGTTGAAAACACCACGCGCTCCCAATGCTGGTTCCGGTGGTTCCGGGCTCATGCTGGCACGGGAGGTCTTGGACTGCCTCTGGAGCAAGACTTGGTTGTCAGTGCCGTTGCTTGCAAATCTCGCAAGGCCATCACCTCACAAGTCAAGTCGCTTGGGAATACCAAAACAGAACAACAAGAGCACACAGCAGCTCATGCAATGTCTTCATGTTTGGGCCGGGCCGCGAGCAGGTCCAGGAGCCTCTCTTGAGCTGGCAATGCTGACGTAGGAGAGCCAAATCCACACCCAATGGGAAGCAAGTGCCATGGCAGCAACGGCAGGGAATCACCAAGTTTTCTAAGCTGTGCGGAATGCTTCAGCCCAAAATCTGAGCAGACGTTGACGGCTCATGCATGAACTCAATTGCCCCCTCCCCTCCGTGGAGAACTAAAGCAGCGCATTGCAGGCAACGATTCGTCGTCGATTCTGCAAGAAAGAAGGACGAAATCCGAGACCCAGAGTCGTGCATTAAAAGCCCGACAGCGCCGCCCCTGCAGCTTCAGAGTCTCTACATGAAGTAGGGTTTATATATTCCTTGTATCCCCAAAAGGACGCCCAAAAAAAAAAAAACTTTATATACACTCGCCAATAATAGTAGTATAAACATTGCTTCACATGTTTCGACACTTGAACCAATGGCGCGCAATCAGTTGGCGCATACCAGCCCGTTTCTCAAAAACTCTACCTGTGCTTCTAAACAATGCGTATGACATAATGAGACCGTGGCTCGTGCAACCTTTCAGCAACCAACGCGCAGAGAGTCCCAAGTCGCGGGCATTTTCCCATTTTCCTGACAGTCCAGCGGCTCCAGAACGCGTCCCAGTGATCTCCAAGCCGCCGCGCGAGGCTCTGAAGCGGTAACATGACCCCCAGGTGATCCTTGAGGTGCGGGACTTCGAGGATCCCCCAATATCCCCCACAATCTCACATCGGCATCTTCTATTAACTGGGCCGCTGCAGATATGCTAGCGACCCATGCCCCTACACCTGGGTCACCTGCGGCAAAGCGCCTCCCAGAGCTGCTGCAAACTCACTGACACGCTCCGTCGGAAGGAAGAACCCAACAAGCTTCTGCGAGTTGAATCGGTTGTTCCTGAGAAGGACAAGAAGAAGTCAAAACGTCCCCTTGTACTCAACGATTGCACCTGCCCTCTCCTGAAGCACAACCCTGCAATACCCTGGCATCCCCCTGGCTGACACTGGCGCCACACCTGCTTTCCCCCCGTGCCACTTCTAATTATGTTTCAGGTCTGCGGGCTGGGTCTGACCACACGGGTTGCCAGGGTGCTGCTAGGAGGAAGGAACTCACAGTTCAAACATGCCAGCTGGCTGTCTACACTCGACACTCTGGACCGGTTTTTGCTTGGTACCTTATGAGAGTGCACCTCCCGCAACATGTTGATCCTCAGCAAAAGTCTAGATATCAAGCCAGTGGCACGAGGATGGCCGGTTCTTCCATCTGCCGCTGCTTGCCAAAGAACTTCTCCTGACCACATCTGATGAAGTCCTTTTTGCTCTGATGCCTGAACTCCCTGGGCCTACGCGCCAGCTCATGCTCACGCCATACGCTAGCACCCTCGGGGAATACCACCTTCCTGCGGACCAAGTGTCATGACTTCGGAGGACGACATACGTCACCGGCCTGCCTGGCCGCACGCGCACGTAGAGACCATGCTTCAGTGCACATGCTCAGAGTTCACAACTTTGTCCGCGCACACACCAGCATCAATGCGTGGTAATGTCTTTCAGGCTCAACTTTGAGTTTGGCCCACGCCTGAACTAGACTCACTAGAGCATACCAGAGCACTCCTTGAGTGAGGAATACCATTTCGGGTTTAGGGTTTAGGGTTTAGGGTTTAGGGTTTAGGGTTTAGGGTTTAGGGTTTAGGATTTAGGGCTTGCTTTGTATTTGTCAGCCGCCTCATTTAAGTCAACTGACATTTTTCGTCGCCGTGGCACGCAGAACGTTGACCCACCACACCACTGCCGTGGCACAAATCACGAAGAGCACCTCCGGCATTACCAACAGTGCACTACAATCACTACTACTCGCAGCTCCTCATGTCACGATGCGATTCCAAACGATTTCGATTTCTGATGAGGCCTTGCTTACGCGCGAAATCTTTCTTGCACACCAGGCCGCTATAAAGTAAATCCTCCACAAGCAGCTCAGAGCCCTCCTCGGCTCATCGGGATGAAAGAGAGGAGGCGACAACTTCGGCATTTCTCTGCCCAAGAATCATGACGTGGGAAAGAAGTTGCACGGCCACAGCAGCATTCATTGCCAAGCCGGCGTGGCCTACGTGGATGTCACCTTGGCTCAGGTGGAGCCTTGTCGTATGAGTTTTGCTCTTTCGGTCCGCTTACGCAGGTCAACTGCGCAGGTGGCTGAGCTTCTCACCCATATTCCTCTGTTCAACATCCTCAAGCACCAGACGGTAGACTCAGCGCTTGCCGAAAAGCTCCGCAACTACTGGCGGGGATGCAAGCAACTCATTGCAGCACTTCTTGAAGCCATCTTCCCTCATTCCGGCACACCTGTCTATCTTGAATACTTTCCATGGATGAATGGCACTCGCAGGCAAATACCTACTGAGGCGCTCGTCTACGTCCATGCAGTCGTCTGCAGCTACCACTTGAATGAGCAAAAAATCGCAAGCATTGTCGAGGTCCTGCAACTGGCGCTGGTCTTCCGGGCTTGCGTTCTTGGCCTCTCGTTCTTCTTCCACAGCAGACGCGGACGGAAAAAGAGCCACCAGCAGTTCCTGAGCCGAGCAAAGCACAACCTGAATTATCCTTGTCTTGGGCGCACTTTGGGCGCACTCGAGTGAGACTCTGGTGACTCTAGTGCCCTTTTGAGAGGTGAGGCTCGAGGGCCGGCAGCAGCTCCTCCGTTCGAGATTCGAGATGTCTCAAAGTTGCACAACAAAGGTGTGACACGCAGTGACAGGGAATGCCTGCGGCTTCCTGAAGTACAAGTGGGCCGAGCTGTCCCCTGCCAAGCGTCCTCACAAGCACACATGCAAGGCACACATGCAAGGTACTCATGCGAGTCATATGTGAGAAGACCAGAAGCTGGAGAGGCTTCACCGCATTCCACCAAGGGCCAAGGGCCGAGGGTTAAATGGGCATCGCTGCACAAAGGCTCAGGAGCATAAGACCGTACAAGCAAACCGGTTCGAACCTTCAGGAATTTTCTGGCTCCTTCCACAGAGTGACGCCTGCTATAAAAAAAATTCTAGGCTAGGCACCGGCGGCAGCCAGCTCCTCGTTGGTCATCGGCAGAAGTCCTGGGCACCTCCCTGAACACAACCCCCGCTCTTTAACAGCTTATGCTCGGTAGAGTCTCCTAAAGAGCTCCGACACCTAGGAGATTTCATGAACGGAAAAGCCAGCTGCAGGTCCAGCTTCGACTCTCCAGCAACTCTTTACCATCGGTGCCATCCAGAACAGCCCTGAGGCTCGCGACGGTGGACGCCGGGATTTGGGACTCCACTTCCTTGTGTGCTCAGCCGGCGGTTGCCACATGCTTCGCAATTGCTGCGCTGCACACTGAACGAAGTCCAAACAGCAGTTCCCTTCCCTTCAGCGGCTTAGGGGCTGACACGTCTAATTAGCAAGCTGAAACACCTTGAAGGTCTGTTCGTTCACATCTCACTGTAACAGCGGAAGATAGCATCATGAGAAGCTTCTTGGCTGTTGTCAATGGATTCCAGGGTGTCGTACACCGCGCTTGCGAGTCTGCCTCTGCTGCGCAGAAAAGAACCACTCAGACACTGCCGAACTCATTGCCAAGATCAGACTGACAGCAGCACATCTGGGAGTTTACGACGGTTAGGAACCCATTCAGCATGTAGACCCCATAATCATAAGATGCGCCTCTCACCAAGACCCCAAGTTGGCACTCCCCAATTTCGGAAACAGCACCTCTATGCACCTCTCATCCGGGCGGCTGATGGCCCGCGCGCGTCCGGTTGCGTTGGAACCGCCACAGGCGCAGCATGCGTCTCGCGGAGACAACTTCCTCGGTTTCGGATCTCTGCGCGAGCTTGCATGTCCACCAATCGATCAATCGAAGGACTTTCGTCCTCAAACTCCAGCCAGAATCGGGAACGTGGAACATCTGCGTTTGCTGACCCCGGGCTCCTCGTCAAAAGCCCCGCCTACGCCTACCAGTCGAGCCACCGTGCTGAAGGTTACCGGAGCCTGGAGTATGGGAATGCGCATCTGAAGGTTCCGGGTGAATCTGAAATGACGCCAAGCCGCAGGTTCGCGTCAAGCCGCTCATCCAAGTCCCCCATGCGCTCTTCCACACTCCGCAGGTCGTGGCATGATAGCAACCACCCAGGCCTGACTGCGAGCGTCCGCAAGTCTTAACAGGTGGCAACAAACACCAGGATCATCAACTGCAGAATGCCGACGGCTAAAACATGTGCAAGGTGTCAGCAAGCGGCTCAGCATACTTCCGGCAGTCGTTCGCATCCATATCACTCCAGGGGATGAAGTCGCTGCACTCATCTGGCAGGATCCGGACAAGGGCACCTTCTGAGCTCGAAGTCTGCGAGCAAAAAACGAGATAAAGCCGCGCCTGCAGTGAGTTCACCGGACCTGTCCGGGACGAACTATGTCGTGCGCTGGTTCTCTTTCACAAGTTGGACTAAAGGTCAATCTTCTGCGGGTTCCGCGTGCCTGCTTGTCTGCGCAGCCTGCAAGGTGGTTGTAGCTGCTGTGGGCGGTGCCGGGTCTGTGCGAAGGCGAAAGGAACAGTGGATAGCGTCATTAGCACAAGCTCAGGCTTGAGACGCCAAGATGCAAATTTGGATATGGTCGGAAAAAGTTACAATTACGGCAACGCCCACGCCTGGCTGGAGGATGCTGACTGTTCGGTACCTCTTGCGTTGATGGCCTTTGGCACATACACAAAGGCTGCTTTTTTCAGAGGCCGGACTTGCGAGTTCACAGCTTCTGGCCGAAGACCTTTACAGCAAACCAAGTTTCGCTTTTTGGGCAACGGCTCCCCAAGATCCCGTGAAGCCGAGATACACTCGAATGCATCTCAGCTACAGTAGCCTGTAACGTGCAACTTGCTGACGGCTCCCTGCATTGCATCTCTTGAAATTTCGGTAGGGGAGCGAAAACCGGTTCCAACCCAGAGCTCTGAGCCAAGCCACCAGCTACTTCCACCAAAGCAGGTGGAAAGCCGCTTACCGACTGCCATTTCTTCTTGATTGCCTGGCAGGGCAGTCAAGCAGCGGATAAGTGGAGCAGGCTAAGCAAGAAGGTCGATGCAGCTGGGCGACCCCCGAGGCCAATCGAAGCGGCGCGGCGACAGAATGTTTGCCTGAGATCTGTTCGCATGCGTGCTTGCACCTCGCGAGGCATGGCAAGGCAGGCTTGCCTTGACGCTATGTCAAGATGTGCCTAAAACACCAGCAAGTGCAGCAGTTTTGAATTACCACAACTCCAGGAACAACTGTCAAACTGTGCTGCCACAGGATGTCCACCGATATCTGCGGAAGTTTTGCTTTTCGTTCCACGTCTAGCATAGCAACGCAAGTCCTCTGGAAAGCTGACACTGGGCCTGCTGACCTGCACCTGCCTGCGAGACAAGATCACACAAAGACTTCAGGCGGATCTTACTTTGTGTCTTGAGCATGTCTTCGGACTAGATGGTGATGCTGGGCCCCTGGGCCGGGAACAAACAGCTGCCAACCGATCGGAGTGGCAAACTGGTAGGCTTCGACAGGTGCCACCAGCCAGCCAGAGAGCATGTTCAATCGGGAGCATGATGACGACATCATGGAGCATATCAAGAACATTCGGATGTTTTTCCAGAATCACCAGCGTACCTGAGTTTGGGGAGTTGTGTTCCTTGTGTTGCCTTGTGCTCCCAAACAGAGCTATGTCATGCTTCGTCACGATGCCACTACGTCACGACGTCAATACGTCACTAAGTCAGACGTCACCGCGTCACAAAATCAGTACGTCACTATGTCACACACTCTCATGTGCAGCATGGGCCCCTTTCGGCTCTGGCTTACGTTGGCCGTGATTGGTACTTCTTCCGAGGCACACCAGGCCAGGCCCAGTAACGGCACGAAAAGCTCAGGGAAGCGTCAGTTAGCAGCGCACAACGGGGCAGAGTACTTGGGGCAATTCCAACTTTGTTGCAGCTATCCTGCCTGCACTAAACGTCCTTGAAACCAACAAACATGTTCTTGTCCGCTGCAGTACGCCAAACAGCAACTCATAGCAGCTCAAGCCCATGTTCGACCCACAGCCTGCCAGAGCTTTGGGACCACACGCGTCGCTTCGTAGCCTGCAATGCAACAGTAATGCAACATATGCAGCACTCGCCTTCCTGTCTGCTGGCCTCGGACAACCTCGCGATTAAATGACTCCTGCTTCCAGCTGTCACAAGCCTGAGCGGAGCATCACATGTTGAACTTCGGACCTTGTGCTTTAAGGCCAGCAACCTGCCAAAGCGCATTCCCTGCTTTCGTGTCGCAAACCAAGGTGCATCTGTTGGAAAGCCCATGCGCTTGAAGTCCAATCTTGTGACGTAGCTTTCGGTGACAACAAGCCGCCTCCAACGCTTCGAAAATAGACTTGATTGCGAGCTCATGAAAACTCACGAAAACTTTTTTTTTGAAAACTCACGAACTCCAGATTGTTGACGCATGCTTCCCAGGCTTGCCGCCATGATGCGAGCTGGTTACTGCAACCTCGTTGTCCAGCAAGAGCGGCGACAACGCCCAAGGCTCCTTGGAAAGCTGCCGCTCTAGCGCCAAAGAAGTCCGAGGGCACAAATGAGGCCTTTCTGAACCACCGGAATCCGCGCAGGCCTGGAGCCGTAGGAGCTTTGGAACAGTTTTCCACCGAATCACCCCAACGCTGTGCCACCCCTTTTTTGCCTGGAATGTGTACCCGCCAACCAACCCCACTGAGATGTGGCCTCGTTTGGTAAAGGGTTTCTTTTCTTACTTTGGCAGCAGGCGGGTTCAGCACTTCGGCCAAACCACATGTCCATGTCTTTCAGACATTGTGGGGAATGGAAGCTCTCGGTGCTCAAGACACGATGTCATGTCGGTCTCTACAAAACGTTTGGCTGCTTATGAAGACAACCAGGCCGGGGCGGGTCGCCTAAACCAGCCCTGTTTTCCGCAAAGTCTGGCACGGCCAAGGCGCTCAGCACGTATACCCAGCCTACGTCTCCAATCAGATTCTAATCACACGCTGATCAACCCCTCAGGCTCCAATCCCTCTATTGTCCCTATACCACGTGGGGCAAGGCTCGAAATGCGAGCGGTGGTAAAAGCGCAATTCTTCTTCTGGTCCTCAGCTCCCGATTCAGTGGTTCTTGGGATTGTCCGATAAATGCAACAAGTTGGGCCCTCGGGGAAACCTGCAACATGTGAGTTGCTATGCCGCAAGGACGCCAAGCATATGATGCGAATCCACATCCGGAGTCTTGAGCGTCCTTGGCTGGAGGTGTGTGCGCACAGGCTGGCATGGCATGTTTCTTCTTCAACAAGCAGATTCCCTGCATCATAAAGGCAGCGTGTATAAAGTTGCCCTATTATAAAAAGCATGCGCAACCTGGGAATCATCCATGATCAGGTCCGGAGGAAAACAGTACCAATGGAACATCCATCGGACAAACGGACGCACGATTCATACGATCCATGGCCTGCAGCATTAGCCAGGGATGATCGTGGCCACATGTTTCAAGTCCGGCTGCTTACTGTGCAATGCCATAGCCCTGTCCGGCATGTCGTGGCACGTTGGAATACGTTGAATTACGCAAGCCCAGCTTTGTCCTTGCAAAGCCCGGCAAGTTGAGACTACGTCAAGTTCAAACCAATGCAACCGCTTACCTGACATTTGAAATGTTGACGGCGTTTGACCGCCCTGCATCTGCTAGCAGTCCTCTACGTGTCACACAGCCACAGCCCAGCCCCTCTATTACACAGCACTGGAAAAATGCCCAGGATTGACAAGTCTAGCTGCCGAGGCTCCCTTTGGATCGAACCCAGAAGCTGGCCAGCTCATCCAAGACAGCCGCCGCACAGCCACGCGACATGAAAAAAAACACGAAGGGAAACTCGTGGGCAGACCTGAACTTGAGCTTTGCGCGATGACAAATTCTGAGAACAGCACTCGTGTTTCAGTTGAGAACACTTGTCTCGCATCCTGGGCAGATGCGTTCGCAGCTATCGCTGGCCGCGAGTCAAAAAAAGCCGACGCCTTAGAAAAACCACTGTAGAAAAACCACCGGTATTTCCAGCACAGTTCGGAAAACCATCTTGCGAAAACACCGCAAAAACATCACCGGGGCGCAGCAAAATCACTGCCAATCGCAAGTTTTAACGTAACCCGTGTTCCAAATTGACGCGCAACAAACCCAAGCAAAAGCAAGAGGCACGGTGGTCGCCAAAAGTACTTCTTTTTTTTTTTCTCCAAGCAGCGCCGGCACGGGCACAGGGCAGCGACCAGGGGCAGTTGCAAGCGCAGCACAGCAGCAACATTCGGAACAGAACTGGTTCGAGCTGCACCTCGGGGATGGTAGGCAGGGCCGTGAAGACCTTGGCTGCGGAAGTTTCGGAACGGGATTCAAGCAGCATGACATCCAGCGAATGCAGCGTCAAGGACAAGGGAAGCACTGCGCTGCCAGCCCGGAGTGAAGTCAGCAGGCCGGTCGTCGGGCTGGTTTGATGTTGGGGGAGGGGCATCGGCAAGCCGATCCCATGGTGTGTGTCTGGCAACTTTCAAAGCTGACGGCGGCTCTTGATGGCTTTTGCAGCCTCGCCTCGTTAAGCATGCGCCCTTTTATGTGGGCGGTATGTGGGTTTCGACAAATCACGGATGCCCGATGGGGTTACCAAGGGCAACAAATTCGGGCTCGGGGGCGTCGCCACACCACACGCCCGCTCCGAGTTCGGCGACGCGCGGGGGAGCCCGTTTTCCTGAGGTTGGCAGCAACGCCAGTGCGTCTCGATGGAAAACGTGCGTCGAGTGCCTCTGGCGCACGCCCAGGTGTAGTGACGACGATTGACGAGGTATTCTGGACGTCATCCAAGAAGGCCACGAGAAACGCCGGGACGCAGTTTTTCGTCGAACGTCGTGCAAGGGCAGCAGGCCTCGCCTTGAACGTAGGGCGCGTCGCTGGCTTTCTGCGTTCCACCAGTAGTACATGGACGGCTCCCATACCACAAGCGCACGAAGGGCAAGAAACGACGGAGCGACTTGCGATAGTTTGTGAGGCAACGCGCGACACCGTATTGCACGCGCTGCATCGAGCGACATGACAGTGGCCGCAGGGTCAAGGTCGGCAGCGGCCCGCAGCATCCCCGACTCAGCGTCAGTACCAGGGCGGGTCTGCCATGCGAACTGGCGGGTCGCCTGGTCGAAGGAACCGCGCGAGGCAGTCGCGAGGCTGCGGGACACGAGACAGCGTCGTCAAGCAACACTTGGTAATGGCCGCTGGTCACACGCCCGACAGCTTGGCAGCGGTGCTACGTCTCGGCAGAGCTTGGGCGACGGCGGCATCGGTGAGCACGACCGGCGAATTGGACTGGAAGTCGAGGAGGCCTGCAGGCACGGCTTGGAGAGGCGCCGGCAGGTGCACAACTGGATCGGACCACTATCGGACCCCTTTTGGAAGCGATGAGGCCTTCTTCTTGGGCGATCCCGACAAACGGACATACGGATTGTCAAAGAACGCTAGCAGGCCACTACCGGGCTCGCCGCTGCGCCTGCGCTGCGCTGCCCGCGGATGCTCAGCCGGTTTCGCGCGTCTGGCGCCGCGCGGGAAAGCCATGTGACTGTGCGTGTTTGGACGGCGCTGCCGCGCGCCAGGGGTTGCACGCTCGCAGGAGCCTCACAAGGTGCCAGCAACTCGGCTTTTTGCGGGCGTGCCGGCGCATGCCTGGGCGAGCATCGACGCCGTTGACCTCGCTTCCGTGTTTGGCATGCCTTTGCCAACATTGCAAAGCATGCCCGTCTTCTTGTGGGTTGGTGTCGTAGGCGTGCAGCATCGTGCAGCAGTTCGTGCTCGGGAGGCCTACCATGGAAACTTTTCCGGCTCGTGCCACGCATGCTGCCCCACGCGCTTCTCCAACGATCGCGCGAATTCCTGGCCAACCGTTGGGAGAGCTTGCCGGTCGCAGCGCGAGCCTCGGTTGGTAGGCCGCATGCCCGTCGTGCCAGGGTCACCACCGATGCGAATAACGAGGCAACGAGCGTGCGGCGCCGGCAGCCGTCGCCCCTGGAACGGACGACGTTTTCGCTGCCCTGCGGACGTGCGCGTGCGGATGCGATGCACTTGGGGCATGTGTTGGGTGATCCTGCCCAGGCAGGGCTTTTTGTGCTTCACACTCGGATCGGCCCATCCGCAGGTCGTTGCATCGTGGGCAGAACACGGCTACAGACCGGTGTGGGCAGTGCTTCCACAGGGCGAGAAGCTTGGCAAACCTTCCGTTGGATTGGGGAACTTTGGCGTGGCCTTCGGCAGTCCTTCGCTGATGTCAAGTGTACACAGTGTACACTTTCCGTGGCCATTGTACCCTTCACCGGTCACTTCGCCGGTTGCATTGCCTGATACCTGCGCTCCAACAATTCAACGTGCTGCCTACGCACGAGGAGGTCGTCATCCCCAGCGCACAATTCCGTGTACTCCTGCTGCGTAGGTTGCGCCTGCCCCTCCCGTTGGCGCCCAGGCATTGCCATTGGCGCGGCCAGCTTGAAGAATTGGGGCGACCATCGCGCAGCCTGCACTGCGCTACTGCTGGGGTGCTCCCCGCCCGGGCGATCCCGCTTGAGCGGGCGCTGGCCCGCGTCTGCCGCGAGGCGGGCGCTTGTGTCGCCCAGAACGTCCGTTTTGCCGTCATGAACTTCGATGCCTCCGTGCAAGACGCCAGGCGCATCGAGGTCGTGTGCAATGGTTTGCCACTCTTGCATGGTGCGCAGCTCGCCGTCGATGCCACCATAGTCAGCCCTGTTGGCAGGACCGGCCGGTGCAGATACCGCACCGGCTCTGCCCTCGACCAAGCCGCCCAGCGCACGTCGCGCGAGGCAACCCAGTTCGTCCGCCTACTCGCACGCGCACGTGCGGCGGGGGCGCCTGCGGCCCTACGTGGCAGCGCCGGGGTGCAGCGCTGGAGTGGCATTCTCTCCGTCGCGGCGCTGCCTGGCTGAGCCCGAGCCCTTGCGGATTCATACTGGGCCACGAGCCGTGTCGCGCCGTGCGCAGCGTGAGCAGACGCATAGGCTTGTACAGGGACCGGGGCTTGGGACGACCTGCGGAAAAACAAAACCGAACGCTGGCAAAATTGTTTTTTCTTGCGTTGAAGTCGTCAGGGCTTCCCGCCACCCCGACAGGCTGCTTCAGGTGATTGAGGCAACCCCGACCGATTGACGAGGTTTTGGCCCAGACCGAGACCGACGGGCCACCTGGCTGGCGGCGGCATGGTGTCGCATACGCAATACTTTCGCGAACGCAGTTTATTTTGCTGTTTTCCATGACGCTGGCCGCTTGCGCATTGCTCCGACCACAAGCTGCCCCGCAAGCACCATACCAAGCGAGCTCGCCAACCACGTTTCCGCCCCAAGACATGCCGGTTGCCCTGCGCCGCAGCTTGCGTCTCCCCTCGCCAGTCCGCCAAGCCGTTGTGGCCCACCCGGCTGCGGAGCAAACGTGGATGCGTCCTCCCGACTTTTGATTTACGCGGAAAAGGGTGTATGGAAATTCCCGTCAAAAGATGGATGCGCAACCTCAAGGGGCCCTCACAAAGCTCGCGGAAGACGATGTCCCCATCGATTTTGATACAATGGACCTCGGATGCGAGGTCCATCGAATGCTTACCATTGTGTGATTTTGTTTGGGAACGGGGTCAATTTGGAATGCGGGAAACGTAGAGTCCCTTCGTTGGACGATGGTCGGGGTTGTAGTTGGTTGCCGCAGCAAGGTCCTTTGCTACCAGCTGGCTCTTTTGGCAAATCGCCCACACCGCCAATGTTGACGGCGAACCTCCACTGCTCAGCGATGTTCTCGCTGACTCCTCTGTTGCCTCCCCTGGCTTCCCGCCTAGCCGCGTGAACTATGGGCCGCCCGCCCGAGCCCCTGCTGCATTGGGACCGTGTGGATTGTGGGAAAAAGGCGTGAGGAAAAAAATCAATCTGGAACGCGGGAAAAGGTCCCGCTCGAACGAGCCGCCGCTCGTGTCTGCAAACATGCCTCGCCGCCTGTGACTGGTCGCCACCAACGTGCTCCTGCGGGACCTCAAGCGGCGCAAAGAGGTCATCGCCAACGGCCTCCTGGACCTTTCTGCGATCCGCCTGCAGCCGGCGCTGCCCTGCGTGCGGCTAGCAAGGCCAAAGAGCGGACATACCCCGAGCTCCTCTGCTGTCCCGCACAGTGCCAGCTCGTTGTGGTCGGGTTGAGTTCGGCGGCTCATCCGACTCCTCGCTCGTAGTCGTAGCCGCTCCCGCTCAGCCCCTCCCCAGCTGCGCCGAGGCTGTCCTTGGCAACCGCACGCGCACTTGCCGCGAGTCGTCATCTCTCACTGCCCCTCGCCAACGCGGCCAATGCTAATGGGGAACTCGTGCAGTTGAGCGACCTCCTTGGCACTGCTCTTCTGTTGATGTTCAACCAGAGATTCATGCTCCTAACATGTGTTTCAATCCCTCAAGGCATGTCACAGTCATGCCAAGATATTTTGATCTTTGGCTCAAGTCCCCGTGACGAGCGAAAAGAGTCCGAAGGCTGCCGTGGCGGTTGCCCGGGCAGAAAACCCCGAACTTGGGATCGGGTTTTTTCTTTTTGGGTCTTTTGGGCTCCACATTCGGGATTTGCAACCATCGTCATTGCAGACACTGCAGCCGCAGCTGCAGCAAGTAGGAGTGCGGCCAAGTGTTGCACTCGGGGCGTTCATCATATAAAACGGGGCATCATCAGTCTGTCGCACGATTCATCATAAGCATCATTGCGCGTGTTCACCATCAGGCCAGAGGCCCCAGGGTTGGGATCGGGTTCCTTCCCCAGCTTGCTCTGCTCTCGTTCCTCACCTTCCAGGGAAGTTCAGGGTCGTTACCCTCCCCTAGGACCAAGCTGTGGGTTCAGCAGCACTCACACCTCCACTCCCCACATCTCATAACCGACAGGTTATGAGCCCAAGCTCACCTGCACCAGCATGGCCCCCAGCAGCAACACACCCCTTTTCTTCTTCGGGCCTTACCACTCCGTTTAGCGCAACTTTGACACAGGCTACGAGGATCGATATCCCAGTGCAGGTGTTGGAGCAATTCAGACAGCAGGGTGCCATGGACAGTGCGATAGTTGGAGATCTCCCGGCAGCGGTTGTGGAACTTCACGACCGCCTCCAATACTGTACTAACATCCTTGGCGATGCGACTACTTCGTTGGCCGGAGGCTACAATGTGGTAGTAGAAAATTTGGGACGTGTGCAGCAAAGCCTTGATGCATACAACGAGATGCTCGCTCGTCTTGCTCAGGACAATGCGAATCTACACACGGAGCTTGAGCAGACGCGCATCCAGTTAGAGGAGACCAGAGCCATGAGCCAGGCACCGAAGCTGGGCCCGCAGCAGTGGCAGGCCCAGGTTGAGGCCCACATCATCAAGCTTCAAGGGGAATTTGATCTTCGTTAAGGAGTTGAAAGGAAGTCAGCATGCTATGTCAGCACGACAGGATCAGCTGGAATCGGCTATCCAGGACGGCATGGGCAACCTACATCCTTCAGGCGTGGAGGGAATGGGCTCCACGGTTCCGGTGGGTCCATCAACACAAGATGTCTTGGCACGGGTCGAAGAGCTCAGCCAGATCGTGACCGAAAATCATCAGGTAACGAACCGCTTGATTGAGGACACGAGGACATCCGTTCGTGAGGTGGTGGATAAACAAACCACCCTGGAGCAGGACTTTGACAATCTGCAATCTCTCTGCGAGTATCACTTCATGTACACACAGGAAAAAAAAGAACCTGTGATGGCGGAGCCAGAAGTTGATCAGTATGAGCAAGATTGGTGGCGGTGGTTCCCGACTTCCACCCCACCTGGCCTGGGAGGCCAGCTGAGCGCGCAGCAGCCAGAGGGTAACCCTGGTCATGATGCTTCACATGTTTCCGGGCAATCAGTGAATGCGGGTTTCGGCACTCGCTTACTTCGGAAAAGCCAGGAGAGAGTGGCGAGGCACCTACAGCGAATTTTGCACCACCATCGACAGGAGCAGCAGGCACTGTGGGCAAGATTCACAGGCAATACACTATGGAAGATGGAAACTATTACAAGACGTCCCGCACCTCAAGGTGGGGTGGGGGCGAACCGTGGGAAATGGGGATGAGGGCTGCGTGTGGCAACCTCCTTCAGGGAATTTGTCCAGGAACAGGTCCGAAATGTGTCCTCCTTCTGCTTCCAGCAGATTTAAAGAACAGCGTTTTGGAGAGCAACGAGGAGGGTCATCGCATGAGATCGGTGGAGCTCTTGGCGGGGGTGCTAGAAACACTCCAGCGAGGAGGAGCGGCCGTGTGCAGTCTGAAGCCAGTGAATACGGCTAAAGAAGGGCTGAGCGTGCTTAGAAGATGGAGACTGGCCCGGGCACGAGTTGCGGCGGTATCATTGCCTCAAGTTGACCCGTTTGAAGAGTTGGCGGCATTGGGAAGTTTGAGCCAGAATCTTGAACGACGCCATGAACGACTTCGTACCCTCTTGGGGCTCCTGAGGACTTCCCCTCAGGTTTTTCGGCCGAGCAAAGAAGGTGTGGAAAAGATGATTGCATTGCTTGAACAACAGTTTCAACTCCTCACGGCAGATGAGCACGTGAAGGCGAGCAAGAACAGTGACCCGGATCCTCAAGCTGCCAAAGGAAAGGGCAAGGGAAAGGCTAAGGAGGCCAGGACCACTGAAAAGAAGCCTTGTCCTTTTATACAGAAGTGTAGATCCTGTAAGTGTGGTGACAAATGCTACTATCAACATGCACCTGCTAATCCGAAAGCGGCATCCAAAAGGGCCACCTCCGAAGGCAGGCCCAGCGGGAGGTCAGGAGGAGTGCAAGGCATGGAAGGCGGGAAATTGTCGCTTGGGTGATCGTTGCAAGTACAAGCATGGAGATGGTCGAAGCACATCGAGCCAAGCAGCACCCACAAAAAGCAATCCAAAGGCAGCCCCAAGTTCTAAAGCAGCAGCTAGCAATCAGAATGAAGAGAATTTGGCGCAAGTCCGTGGCATCGGCGGTGAGTGTGGCCATGATGGCACTGGGAGGCTCGGGCGAGGAGGAGAGCAACATCTCTGGGTCATCCAATGAGGAATCTTATATGGAAGATGAAGCGCAATGCATGCTGAGGCCCCAGCACCAGAGTGGTCCGATGTTGAGCATGTGTTTTTCCCTGAGGCTGATTCCGGCGATAACACGGAGATTTCGGAAGGCTCGCAGAATGATTTGGATGCCCTCGTAGCGTAGCCGATGCAGAAGGCCCATTGTGGATCCTAGATTTGACACTGAGAGACTATGTCCGGTGGTGTGGGGGTATTTCACATGTAGGTTTTGCAGATGATTGGGTACCAAACAGCATTCAGAGCAGAGCAGACCATGATTCTTACGAGGAGACGAATCCGCATCAGATCACATGGGCCGTTTGGTTCACAATAGTACATGGTTTGTTGGACGAGGATGAGAACGGTTGCATTCCCGTGGTAGAAGGAGTCGGCATGTTGAAGTGTGAGACCACCCTTGTGCAGTGCGAGGACGGAGTTTGCAGGCCTTTCTTTGTCGTGTGGATCGTCGAGAATGAAACAGGCAAGGTGAACAAACTCACGACCTTTTGCAACTCGATTCTGAGCCTGAATGTCGCATCATGATCTCAGTTCAAGACGCTACTCCTACAAGGTCCAAAAGTCATATTCTGTTCAAGCAAAATATGGTTCACGGTATGGGAGAAAATGTTGATCACCCCTTGCCCTCTTGGCTGCAACGTGTTTGCATCAACCTCAATCATCAACATGATGCACGTTTGTGACGGACCTTGGGCTCAAGCAAGTATCAACTGTACACCTACATCTACAAACTGAACTACGCATGTCATGCCAGGCTGCATGACTGCTTGACTGACGCAAGCGGACGCCCTGACACATCAGGAGATGTGTTGCACACTTGGTCACTGACACCCGTACTTGTGAAGATTGGGATGGCCTAGTTACCATCCGAATGAATGCTCATTCCTTCGGAGTTATGACTGCTCCACAGTCAACGCTTTCGGGGTGCATAGTACAGGATTGTCAAACACACACCCATGCACAAGCTCTGCTGGCTGGCAAAGCGGTTGCGGCACTCGGCACAAGGATGCAATGTTCGGATATTGCTGTCTCTAGTGGTGTGGCAAGATGCATGGCATCTTCCAGTGGGCGTGACAACCACTCTTTGCCGCTTCCCTCCTCCGTGCTTCGTGCACGCTCGGACCTCGCCGCCACTCACCACCTACTTTTGACAGGGGCCTTCCGGGGTTGGATGGAGACCTCCTGGCAGCTTGCTCTTCTACCGCCAGCAGTTTTAAGCCCTGGGTTGAAATCAAGTGAAAACATCTTTTCCTTTGCACATAAGGTGTTCAAAGGGCAGAAACACACAAACTTTGCAGAACAAAGAAGCAAGAACATAAAGCATAAAAAGCGAGACTTTCGGCGCAGCCAAGCCGCACCTTCAGCACGGAAACCATGCCGCAGTGTCTGCATAGCATCCCCGCCGGTGTACGACATGTCGTAACACCATCTACAGGCTGTGCAGGACAAACAACAGACACACAGCACACGAACACGCACATACACACAGTGCGGGATGCCTTCTCCCCTTCGTTGGGCGCAGGACTTGCCTTCCCTCCAAAACGACACCACTTTTTTTCCAAGTCTACTGCCTTTGCATAGGTGAAAACGCAGATGCTAAAGGTAGAGCCAGTGGAGCAGGCCGTGGTAATGGCCATAATGTCGCGTTTCAGGCCCCAAGCTTGTTTGAAAGAAAAGTTCTAACCCAATGTTCCAAGAGTGTGGCAATTCTGTCAAAGGGAAATCCTCTAAAGTTTGACATGCTTCCATAAGGCTCATGTGCCCCCGTGCGGTGTAAAACCGTTGGTCCACACACGCATGCAAGTTCTTTACTGCGACCTACCCCAGAGCCTCTTAAGAAAAAGAAGAAGCGTGACTCTGTGATGCTGAAGCATATATGCTTTAGCTTGTTATAAGAGGGTTGCAGTAAAGTACTTGCATGCGTGTGTGGACCAATGGTCTACACCGCACGGGGGCACAAGCTCCAATGGCAAGAACTCTTGTTATGGAAGGCAATTCTGGAGGAGTGTGATTTTCCGAACAAAGCTGTGGCAGGCTTACAGGCTTTCCATCAAGGTCCGTATCATGGGTTGGATGCCTGATAATGGACTCTTTGTTAAGAATGGAATGTTCAACCTCCAGTAATGTTAATTTTGGCAATTGTGCTGCAAAAGAGAAAAATTTCGAATTCTCCGAATCAGAAATTTTTTCGGCTTAACAAAGAAAGGCCACAGCCCTCATTACAACCCGTTGTAAGAGAGGTTGGGAAATTTTTCTGCCTTCAGCCAAGTGTGCTGGGGGATTAGCATCCTGCGGCCTGGTGGGAAGAGTGGGAGCCTCACAGAAGGTTGATGGCGTTTGGAGCCTTCATTTACGCTTGGTTTTGAAAGCCGAGTTGCCTTGCTGTTCTCAAGTTTTCTTGGAGCATGTGTGCGTTTTGTTTGAGCCAGGACGCAATTTAAGGGAGCGAGTGTCTTCGGTTTCAGAACTTCTGCAGCTGGTATCTGTTTTTGTCAATTGCGAGAGTTGTACACGTCAGGTCAAGAAATTTTATCTTGCAGGGAACCAAGTTTGGAAGCTTTGTCCTCTGAGTCGATAGCAGCCTGCAATCTTTCTGTTTTCGAGAGAATCCTCTCATCTCGACTAGACGACTAATCGGTGCCTTTGCACCTCTTGTCGGCCCTTGCCGGTTTTGGCTGTCGTCACGGCCTACGTATGAAGCACACTCAATGTGTGCATTGAATGTTGGCCTGAAGTGCAGCAGTGTACAGTTGAGAATGTGGGTGTCTGCAAAGTTCCAACATACTCGCCCACACCCATGGCTGCCGTCCACGGCAAACCGTGGGACATTGTCATCGTGTAGCGATGGTTTGCGGGCTCCAAGGAAAGATGGCCCTGTCATCTTCGTGCGAAAGCACAGCACTTCAGGCGAACAAGCATGCACATCGCTCGACAATCGGCTGCGGCACCTTGGTGGGATTCTTGTACTTGGCATGTCCAGCATCAACCGATCGCGGTACTCATCCACCAAGGTTCCGTCAATCAGGCCTCGGACGTCCTTCCGTTCCACCAGCTCCGCAAGCTGCCTTCACGCAGCAGTTCTCGGCGCACTTGGGGGCGCGAGCGTTCCTCCTCCGTCGCCTCCGCAACGTTGAACGCAGAGTCGGGCCTCTCAGGTGGCCCCTGCTGCCGGGCGCCAAAAATCCCAGCCATAGCTGGCTCGAGAAGAATCTCCGGCTCCTCCTCCTTGGGGGCAGCCCCTTGTTCGTACTGCTCCTTGGCCGGCTTTTGCTCAGTTGGGCCACTTGTTCCAGCCTTCTTGTCACTTCTCACGCCGATTCCCACCAGAGCCCTGCCACGAGCTGCTGGAGCCGTAGTTCTTGGAATGCCCCCAACATTTGCCCCATGAAGACTGCTGGCTCTTCCATGGGGTGGCCTGTTCTTGCCACCGGGAGGAATCCTTCCAAGACCTCGACTCCCTTCTGTGCAGGAAGGAGGGATGCCTGGTCTGGGCCGGACGCCACGCCAAGGCCGCAGTCGGCACTTGGCACCAGTAAAATCCTGGCTGCGGAGCTGGCATGCTGGCTCTTTCCTTTGCGTCTTGCTTTTTGTTTTCTCTCGGAGTCTTTGCGACCCCTTTCTTGTCTCTCTTTTAGTGGGTGTGAAGGTACCCTTGTCTATACGTTTCTCCGCAGCAGAATCAAGACTCAGCATGTGCAGTTCACGCCCCGTCCAGGCATCTTGATGTGGGGACCTGGAGTGCCCTCCTCGTGAGCCGATGGCCAAGCAAGAGAGTTCAGCGTGTCCGTCCTGCCCTGACAACAGAGACGCTAAGGGACGGAAGGCACGAGCAATCAGTGCTTGCATTCGCACTGTCTCGGCTGCGTGGTTTGTGTCTGTGAAGCATGTTAGTTTGTTTGGGGAGATACCCCGGGAGACTTCACGGACGGCGACTTCCCGTCGTACGGATTCAGCGGCCGAGGGGTCTGCAACGACTCCGGCTTTGAAGGTATCAAAGCCTCAATCTCCAAGGTGCAAGAGCCAAAGGAAGGGACGTCATCTTCTCGATGGAAGGGCTCCTGCAGGAGAACACGCCCCAGGTGGAGGGGGGCATGCAGGCACTGAATGCTGCCTGCCGAGATGCAGGCAGCGCGCGGTCAGGGGACCACCTGCTTTTGAGTCCGTAGCCTGGCCAATCTGAGCCAAGAGCTGAAACATTGAGCCTTGATATGAGCTCGTCGGGAGCGATAAAAGAGTGTCCCGTACTGACAGGGTGAGTGAACTTTTGCTTTGTCATCATGTTCGCAACAGGGATTTTGTTTCCTTCACATGTTTCTATTGATGCGGGTATCGGGAAGCTTTGGGTCATTTTTGGTTCAAGCCCCAGATGGCTGGTCACCTACGAGCACCGGAAGTCGGAAGGCCAAGAAGTTAACCAGCATCGTGTTGCTCAGGTCCTGATTTCTGCAGGACCACCGAATGTGCAACTTCCCTGGGAACAAGGAATTTTCAGGGATATCTTCGCACCTGGACCAGTGGTGTCACTGGACTGGCCAGAGCCCAGGGTTCTTGTCAATGTGGATGAAGCCGAACTATCGTCTACACCAGGTCCCAGCGTTTTGCAAGACAAAGACAAGACGCCAATCGCAGGTGTCTTCAGCTCCTCACCGGGAGCCAACGTTTTCTGCAAAGTGATCAAGTGCAAAAAGAAAGATGAACCTTTTGAGGAGGCTGTTGCAGGCATGTGGTTGAAGAACATGCAGATGTGGAAACAGCTGTTCGAGGCCTCCCCGTCCACCAGTTTTGCCAAAACATTACAAGAATTGGACGAAGAGGAGAAGATATTGTCCCTTCGTGACATGTTTGGATTGAAATCACCACACACAATCCAGAAGCGTGCATCGACCTTGTTGAGGCTGTTTCGTTGGCTTCAAAAACAGGCAGATGTGCAAGGGACCTCTGTGGAGGAACCCCTTCTCCCATCAGAGGAAGCGGTTTACAAGTTCTGCAGAGAGATATCCCACAGGAAAAAGGGCAAGCTGGCACCTCAGAGCGTGGTACAAGCGTTGAAGTTTGTGAAATTTGTGCTTTCCATTCCAGATGTGGAGAATTCCATCTCCCCCAGGGTCCGAGGCTTGGCAGACCGAGCGGCAGGCGAGCACGAGCCCACACATCAAGCCCGGGACCTAACAGTGCTTGAAGTTAGATTTCTGGAAGAGTGTGTTGGGAACGCTGAGCTCCACGTTGTTGATCGATTTGCAGCAGGAGTGTTCCTGTTTCAGATCTTCAGCAGGAACCGTTGGTCGGACATCAGGCACGTGCCATCCTTGGAGTTCGATTTTCTGGAAATTGGCCCCGGGATTTGTGGTTTTCTGGAAGGCAGGGCCAGAGAGGTGAAACAGTCCAACAAGAAGAAGAAACTCTCGTTGTTCATGCCCCTCGTGGCTCCAGTTCGGGGGGTCCACCCGAAGGTGGTGTGGGCCAAAGAACGGCAGAAGGTGGCTGCCGTGCTCTCGAAGACCCCTGTAGGCCCTTTACTACCGGCCACCGCCCCAGATGGTGCCTGGCTGCAGAGGTCCATCGACTCCGCCGAGGCCTCCAACTGGCTGACGGGACTGCTAAGGAACCGCGACCCCTCAACAGCGAGGGTTACCACACATTCCTTGAAACACACTGCTCTTGGCTGGTTGAGCAAATACGGCATTGTGGGCGAAACACAGACACTCTTGTCACATCATTCGACTGGAGCTTTGAGTACATTAGCTTACTCAAGAGACACCCTTAGTGGCCCCCTCCGGCAGCTGGAGGAAGCTTACTGTTCGCGAGCGAATGGTGTTTTATCGATTGCTTCCAAATGTCTCTAAGAAAAACGGTGTGCCGTTTGTTCTTGGTTTTGTAACCCAAAAGATTCTGATGCTTGACATGCCTGGTATTGCGAACGACAATTTGCAAATGCGTTTGCTGGAGCTCTGTGGGTGCAGCGCTGGCTCCACAGCTCAGTGAAAAATTTTGAGAAGGCTCGAGGCCGCTTTCTAGTCTAGTGGCTCTGAACCAGGTGCTAAGACTTTAGTTTCGTGCAAGCTTCCCCGTGATCGGGGGGGTGGATGGACCTTTCAGCATCCAGTGCATCCACGTCGTCATCAGACGACTTTCGAGTGCCTGTGCCATCCTTTGTCTTTGCGCCTGTTCGCATTCGACCCCTGCACTATCACGTGCCTGCCCTTCAACGCCGCCTTGAGGCGCCGCCTGATATTTTCAGCTACATTGTTGAACCCAGCTTCCGTGGCCTCCTCGTTAGTCGGAGTGAAGGGGCCAGGTTCCTTCTCTGCCTCACGGTGTCTGACTGGAACCAGTTCAGTGCTGCTGCCCATTGGGTGCAGTCGTGTTACCGCCAACTCCTTCCTCTGCAAGGTTGACTGCCTTCTTGCTGCTGACATGTCTGCAGAGGGTCTGCCGGATATAGAGGGGGATGATTTTTCGGTCGGCCATGTCAGCGAAGATGATGGACCGCCAGTCCTTCCTATCGCTCACCTCGAATTGCCCCCCTTTGGGTCTAGCGTGCAGTCCTCTGGGCCGTTGTTGGTGTTGCCAAGGCCGTCGGATGCGGAAGCCCTAGATTGGGGAGATGAAAACTCCCCTGTCTCGGCGGTGGAAGATTTTATGGTTGACGTCAACCCTGACATGTCTGAGCTCAGCTCTGAGCATACCTCATGCCGGTCATGTGCGCGTGATGATCTGTTGAGTCAGTCAGCAGAACATGACGCCACTGGGGAAGACTCTCAGTTAGCCGAGACTGAGAAACTTACTGTTAGCGAGCCTCCAGCAAAAGTGGCACGCGCCGTGGGTGATGTATTTGCCGACAACTTTGTACGTTTAGCGGATGGGGGCTTGTCTGACGTTGTGTTGCCGTGGGAGCTGCCTGCTGTTAGTGCAATCTTTGGTGAGTCCTCGGTGTCTTCGGAGCTTAAAATGCCACCCCTTTCAATGCGTGAGGCGGAAGTCTGGACTCCTCAATCGCCTCCGTGTAATCCATTCGCCTCCTTGGATGAACCGCAGGAGCCGTTCGTGCCTGGAGACCTTGCGTCAACTGTTTTCAAGGTCCTCTCCGATGTGGACGTTGATGCCCAGCAACGTAAAGCGGTGAGGCTTGCAGTTGATAAGTGGATCGTAATCATGCAGAGAAACCGCAAGATGCACCCGGAGTGCGAGGTTGATCCACAGGCTTTGGAGGCATGCATTGGGTCGAGGGCCGCAGGAACAGCCTCCAAGAGAGCAGGTAGCATCCTCACGTTCCTGAGGTGGTTTGATACCATTGTTGGTGCCAACCTCGACCCCTTCACTGATGACATGTTCTGGAGGTACATGCAGTTCCTGGATGGCTCGCATTCTTGTCCGCCTTGCGTTTTGCTTATTTCGTGATGGATGTTACTAACATTCCTAACAAAATAAGCCGCAAGTGTGTTGGTGCAGCCGAGCGTATGTTGGCTAACCTTGGGGACCTCAAGCAAGCGCCCCCACTCACCGTGGCGCAAGTTCGCATCCTTCATTCGCTGTTGCATGGACAAGGTACCTCGGATTGGGATCGGGCCTTTGCTGGATATTGCCTTTTGTGCTTGTATGCACGTGCTAGACAATCTGATTTCCGCAAGGTGGCATACGTTGACGTGGATGGAGAAGGTCGTGATGGCTACGTGGTGATCCGGGTCAAGCAGCATAAAACTGCCAGGGCAGCCAGAAGGGTCGCTCAGCTGCTCCCAATCTTGATTCCGTTGCGTGGAATCTCGGATCATGAGTGGTTCGAATCATGTAAGTGTGCCTTTGAGAAAGTTGGTCTTCTGTTGCAAGGGCATGTTGGTGCTGCGCTTTTCCGTCCACCGCTAGCCAGTGGGGTGCTGGCTCGCAGGGCCATTACGTCGGGGGAAGTTTCAACTTTCTTGAGGCTCGCACTTAGAGATAATGCTGTGTCCTCGCACAGCTTGAAGAGAACGTGCATCTCTTGGACCAGCAAGGCTGGATCCAAGAAGGAGGTTCGCTCTTGTTTGGGCAGGCATGTCACAGCTGTTGAAGGAACGGAAGCTGTGTACTCTGTTGAGCTAAGCATGGGGCCCGTGCGGGAGATGGAAACAGTCTTGGATGCCATCAGACAGCTTGAGTTTTCTCCTGATGCAGCTCGGGGGCAAATGTGGGCGTTCCCTCCTCAGCCGCCTCCCCCGGGCGGGCCAATGCAGGGCAAGGGCTTGTTGTCAACTCAGGCAAACCTTAATGCCTCTTTGACACCTGCTATCAAGGTTGAAAGCTCCGGTGAAGAAGAGTCATCTTCCTCCGATAGCTCGAGTGAGTCGTCGGGGTCAAGTGAATCGCAAACTTCGCGCGACCCCGTGCGTGTTGACGACCGGGCGGCTGTTCCCAGTGTGAACCCTGTGCAAGGCACTGGTACATGGGTAAAACACTCCAGATCTGGAGTTCTTCACCATGCCTATGGCGACAACATTCTTGTGTGTGGGCGCCCGCGCACGGCAATGTATGTCTTGCCTTCAGAGGAGGATCTTATGAATCCGGAGTGTCGCACATGTAAGCGCAACCTGTGATGCGGTGTGGTTGGAGGAAGTTTGTGTTCGTTTCCGATCGCTATGGCGAAGAAAAGAGATTGCTACATGGTAGCGACATGTGTGCCCATGGGCTAATGTGAGGAAATGTGAGCTGCAGTTTGTGCTGTTGCCGACTAGATGTCGGATTGTTGGATTCAAGGCAAGGACATGGTTCCTTATGAGCCTTGTGGCACATGGTGCCAATGCCTAGCCAAGGGGCTTTATGGGCAATGGGGGCCCAGGGGCCACGCATTCAGCATGTGCGTGTTGGGTTGTGAA